CGAAAGTGCCCCCCGGGTTTTGAGCCGTTCGGGTGTCCTCCCCGTTCACGAGGCGGCAGTCCAGGCGGTTTTTGTCTGTATCAACGTCCTGAATCCTGCCTTCCAGCTGGACGCAGCAGGATTTGGCCCCGCCGGCGGCTTCCTGCAAAGGGCCCTGCGTCTGGGGCTCCCTGTCTCCCAGGGGGCTCTGGCTGCCGTTGAGGGGGACCTTCTCCTGCCCCAGGGTCCTGCCGGATTCAGGAGCGCTGCAGCCCTGTACTTTGCTTTTGGCTTTCAGCTTGTCGTGGTAGGAGAAGAACGCCAGAACCATCGCCACCGTCAAGGCCATGGAGAGCAGCACCGTCACAGTCACGAACTGGACCCAGTAGGAGCGCCACTCCCCCACCGGCACCGCCTGATGCTCCAGGACCCCCTTGGCGCCGCTGGCTCTGTCCGAGGAGGGGTCGGCGCGCACCTCGTACGACGCCACCCGGTGCTGGTAGCCGTTCTCATGGGCCCAGCATTCGTACTTGCCCAGCGTCTGGCTGTGCACGAAAACGAGCAGTCCCGCGTCGTCTGGGACAACCAGCCCCTCCTGCGGTGGGGGGTTCCCCTCTGGGTGGCTCCAGGAGTAGTTGGCCAGGGCAGACACCCGCGGGCAGGGCAGCCGCACGATGGAATTCAGCGGACGGGTCAGCACTGCACAGGAGGAAAGCAGAGGAGGACGCTGTGGAAGGTCCAAAGCAGCTGCGCTCCACGGACCCACTTCAGCCGGCTGTGCGAAAGGCCACCCCGTCAGAAAGCTCCTTCGGCTCTACTGCCTGGGGATCAGCCTCCCCGAGGTGGAGAGAGGGGCCGGGTGCCCTTCCTGCTGCAGATCCCCTCCGCCACCGTACTGGGATAAAAAGAGAGCTTAGAGAAACAGAGTGAGGCATCTCTCCCGTTTCTGGAAGTGAAAAAAGTGAGTGCCTAACCCTAAAGGTCACCCTGGCCCCGAGGCCAGATATTCCTCCCCGGGCCGCGCGCTCCATCCCCTGCTCTTCCAAGGGCTGCAGGGGCAGATCTGTCAGGGCCTCGGCGCCCAGCCCTGGGGCAGCCTTGGAGTACAAGGCCTTTGGGTCCCGCGGGAACAAAAGCCATTCCTCAGTGCCCGCTGACTGTACTCAACCTTTCAGCTGGATGCCATCAGAGTCGTTCTTCGACCTTGGCACGGCTCGTCCCTTCCCACTGTGGCGCTGGCATGCGGCCTCCGCCTTCCCCCACTCAACGTCCTGCAGCCAGTCACTCCTAGAAGGAAGACGTGGGCGAGAGTAAGAGGGGCCCTGCGGGGTTGGCCAAGGGCTCCCCTGCACAACCTGCTAACCGAAAGCGGGCAACGCTTTGGCGGTCGGACCGAGACCCTGAACCCACCCTTTGGCTTGCCCCTATCTTGGCACGGAGGCAGCCTCCAAGCTGTTTTCCAGGTGCACCCACGCAAGCCTGTCTGTCAGCCCCACGAAGTAGACCAGGCCAGGAAGTCAGCCCCACAGGAAGGCCAAGACCACTTTTATGGAGATGGGTTCCAGCCAGGGAATCCCGCAAGCCGGATTGCTGCTGGGCCTCCTCCCCCTCCAGCACATTGAGGGGTCTGCTGGAGCCGCTTCCAAATGCTTTCCGGCTGCTCTGGACCTTCAAAATGTTTCTGCCAGGGCAACAGCGCCCGCGTCTCTCCATCAAGGTCCCCTTCCTGACTCTCCACCCTGGCTGTGCGGTTTCTCTGCTATGCTAATTAACCTCAGTAAAAGAAACTGCATGCATAGCTAGTGAGAGAGACCGGGTGCCACCACGGCAAGGGCCCCCACCCCCAAGCAAGGGCCACCCGCTAACTTCTACAAGTGAGGATCTCCACTGCCAGGAGGTTCAAGGACAAGGAAATCAAGGGGACCCAAATCAAACATGGTCCTTGGTAATCCCGTAGTTCTAGGCACGATGAACTACCACCCCCACTGCCCTCTCCTCCCCTCTCGTAGGCGGGTGCTTCCACCCCACCACCACTCACCTATTGCTGGGGTCGTCCCAAACAGCTCTGCAGGAGTGTCGATCCCAGGCACAGTACGGGTCGCGCGCTAACAGGCAGTTGGCACAGGTGCTGTACACGCTGCAGTTGGCCACTGGGACTTGTAAAACACCTTTGGAATAGCCCACGTACAGGATCCCCTAGGAAAGCAGGGAGAGGCGCTAGGCGTCATTCTTCGGGAAGAGGAAAATCCATTCTGGCAAAAACGGAATCTTCCTTCCTCCAGGAAATCGGTAACTTAAATTCACTGCTGTGAAGTATAATCATTTGCCTTGGTGTTAAAAAAAGAGAGAGAAAATTACCCATGCGTTATCTCATGAATTCAGCTACATTTAAATGAACCTGCACGTTACGCAGACCTCAAGGCTTCTTGGATAGGCTGAAGGACTAAACCATAAAACGAAACAAAAGAGAATCGGTAGAAGAGTACGCTAGCTTTTTTTAGTGCCCCTTTTCTGCAAAACAGCACCATCTTGTCCTGTGCCACTGTGCTGGCAGTGGTGGGTGGCTTTGTTTCCAGACCTGCTCTGGGGCTTACGAGCTTCAAGTAAACAACCGCTGGAGGCTGCATGTGTGGGCTGCCCCCTGCACGGCTCTGGCTGAGCTGGGGTGCAGGGCTAGGAAATCTGCTAAGACGGCGTGAGCCGCCCACACCCCCCAGACCCTTGGTGGAGTGATTTCCTGCAGGTTTCCCATCGGAAGCAAAAGAAACAAGAGGCCAACGCTTGAGATCAGGGGCTGATTTAGGAACCAAACATTCCAGAGAAATCCCAAACTTTCCATCTCCCCTCTGGACCGTGCTGTTCCAGGACAGATCCAGGGTTTCTGGAACTAAATCCTCCAAACCAGAGGGGATTTCAGGCGCCCCGGACAGGGCATTCCAGAGGAAATACAGCTGTTTGGCAACCGAACCACCCCCGGAACATCGCTAACCGCTTTCAGTTTCAGAAACCGCTGAAATGTCCCCTTGGAACGACATGATCCAGAGAAGGTTCAGGAGGGTCTGGAGACAGGATGGAAAGATCCAGCGAGCTACAGAGTGGTTAGTCGGAGAGCAAGATCGGGGAAGATTCTGCAGCAAATCCTAAAGAGGTCAACCTGCAAGCATCTTGAAAGCAATTTGAGTGCCAGCACTGCACCCTTCCAAGTCAAAGAATCACAGCATTTAAGGGTTATATTCTTAAGGGACATTGGAGGTCAACTCATCCACTTTCTTGACAGATGCCCATTTAGCTGCTCTTCAAACATCTCCTGCCAAGGAGGGATCACTATCTTCTAAGGCAGTGTTTCTCAACCTTGGCCACTTTAAGATATGTGGCTGGGGAATTCTGGGAGTTGAAGTCCACATATCTTAAAGTGGCCAAGGTTGAGAAACACTGCCTTAGAAGATAGTGATCCCTCCTTGGCAGGAGATGTTTGAAGAGCAGCTAAATGGGCATCTGTCAAGAAAGTGGATGAGTTGACCTCCAATGTCCCTTAAGAATATAACCCTT